CCCTCGCCCCAAATCATTTGCTTCTTGTTTTGATGCTTCGGCTTCGACACAGATGTCTCGTAGTAACGGCGATTCTTGTGTGAAGACAGTGACATTTGTATAGAAATTGCTGGCCAGGCATGCCAAGTGGCGAATTCCTTTTGTGTTCACATTAAAAGTACCGGTGGCTTCACAAATAGATCTTGATTGGCTTGTGGCAGGACTCTTATGGTACCCAAAACCACGTCTCTTGCTTCAGCTAACCTCTTCATGACACACTGCTTACACAGAATGTCCAAGAAGGGGTTAGCATAAATTAAAAATTGTTTGCTTGGAAAATGAACAGAGCTAGGAGACTACAGTTTTCATCACATGAAGCAGCTAATCAGGATTTTTCCTCACCTTTCTATATTTTACTTTACTTTTACCTGAGCTTCCCTTGTTGCTGTCACAATGTCAATCTGGTATTCAAATCCCCTGAAACTGACGCATGCGCACATTGATGCCCACAATCCTGTGCGTGTGACACAAGTATCGTAAGCACAATTTCGATAATTCCGCTCTCATGTGGTGAAAACCGTATTCTTCTGGCTATGTCATATTCTCAATAAAAATATTTAAATTTTATGCACTCATTCTTGGACACACTGTAGTTTGGTTCATCGCTTTGTTCACAAAATGCTACCATTTAATATTACGATAAGCCATTTAAAATTTTCGTAATTTCTTTCTTTAAGGCCCATTTATATACTGAACCTTCGAGAAAGGTATTATGAAAATTATCTGTACGCCTTTCCCAAAATTAACAAGCAGGAACATGAGTCCTAATTCGAGCACAGAACTTTTCCAAATACGTTCTTTTCTCTTTTACAATATGTTTTACATCTCATTGCCTCGATGTTCATCTGTTGCAGATACAAACCTGCCATATGAGATGAATGAATGGATGTATGAGGGGTAGGCCTCCTCGGCCCTTGCACCGTGCCCTACAGTGGTGCCATTTGAGATACTTACACATACGTCATTGCAAATCTATTACACTGTTGATATCACACAGCGTGAAACAAAAAAAAAAATCTTGGTAAGGTGAAGTCTGTGTGCTTAACTATTTAAGCACTACGCCATAAAGGTGTATGGTTGAGTGGATGTATAGATCCATGTATTCTTGACCTCGGCAATAGTCGGAGGTGAGTGGTCAGCTTCGCGCCGCGGCCGCTTTATTACCTTGTATTTTGCTAAATACTCACCGTTACCAAGTATCTTCAAAATGAGAGTTCTGATCCTCAATGCGATTTTGCGTCATGTAATATTCTTTTGTGCGGGAGATTGTTACCTTCTCTGCAGAGTCCAAATCGGCCCTGGGGCCCACCCAGCCTCCTATCGAATGGGTACCGGGCGCTCCTCCCCCTGGGGTAAAGCAGCGGGAGAGTGAAACTGACCATTCACCTCCATCTAGTGCCGAAGTCAAGAACTTTATTTTTGTACTTCCACTCTCCCCATACGTCTTAATATTGTGGTGCTTAATGTTTTAAGCACAGGGATAACTTCACATTTTACATGACAATACTACACCGAATTTTATACATATTGCACGTATATATAGTTAGGTGTAATGTGCTTATAATGATTCAAGATTCCTAACTTACAAAGATTTATATTATTTCTAGCAAAGTAAATCTTCTCTGTACAATAAAAGTAACACGAAATTAAAAAGAAAGACATTGAGTTTAAAATAATGACAAATCTTTGCAGTACCTCCATAACTTTCACTTGTTTGGAAGAACCACGTATATCGCTAAGAATACCCTTCGTTTGTAAGGAAATGTGTGAGGACAGGCAAGCAGTTTCGCGTGGATAGGTGGACCATTCGAGGCCAGCACTGAACAAGACACGTGCTGACTAGATGGCACGTGACAGCCGTAGACACATAAACACGAATACTTCTCGTTACAAAACTCCTTTGCATATAACGCACTACCCATTAGTGAGCTCATGGATCAAGGTCAGGTCTTGTTCAGAGGTCTGAACTAAAACGGAAAACTTTCTTTGCCGGAGAGGATTTTTTTCAGAGAATACTAAGTGAAAGTGGAAATAAAATTAACATAAAAAGTAATTTTATGGTGATTGGATGGAAAGAAGGAAGAGACATTTAACATAAAATGTTCTGTTTCAGTACGTATTGTTTTCTGTTCATGAATTCGTTTTTGTTTTGGAATTTATTCTGCAAGGTATACTCCTGTTACAAAAGCAATGAAATGATACTGATCCCCGATAGAGTACCAGTACTTCAATAGGCAATTGGAGAAAGAAATAAAAAGAAAGAGATACAAAGTAAGGGAGAAGCAAGGAGATAAAAGAATACAGGAAGGCTAGACTTGGTGTATAGGTGGATGTGTGGATCTGCTGCTCAGTAGGGCAATATAAGTATGTAATTTGATTAATAAATTCATGTAGTAAGACAAATGCTTAGTGTACATTTTTAACCAAATAACCTGAAGAGAAAAGGCAGGTTGGGTGACTTAAAGGCATATATATTAAAACACATTATAATGGAATATAATACATATAGGATATTGGTGGGAAAGCCAGAAGGAAAGAGACCGCTGGAAAGACCAAGATGTAGGTGGGTGAACAATATTAAAATGGATCTTAGTGCGATAGGATGGGATGGTATGGATTGGATTTATCTTGCTCAGGATAGGGAACAGTGGAGGGCTTTTGTGAAGACGGTAATGAACCTTTGGGTTCCACAAAATGCTGGGAAGTCCTTGAGATTCGCAAAATCTTAACTCCATGTTGTTAGTTTTATAGGATCCAAGAGTAGTAAGTATTCGTTAAGTACAAATTGGCATAAAACGGTAAGAATTTACGGTACCTTGAGATTTCGTTATATGCATGTTTTACTGTACCATGTTGACCATTAATAAATACAGAAACAAAGACAATTTCAAGGGTCAATAAGCCGGTTGTCAGAGGGCAAGGTCTTCAACTCTTGACGACAAAAATTTATATATTTCCCTTGACAATTGGGAGGGCTTCATCATGCGCTTTTGTTTATGGTAATCTGATATCTTGAATGACTAATACGGGACATTCGACTATGTTAAATCCGGGTTTCTCTTTAGATGTTTCAGCCTGTATTATGTAATGAACATTCCATTCTGATCAAGTCATGTAGGTAACACATTGTTATGTAGCTATCATTCATACTGCAGTTAGCAATATTCATTATTCGTAAGCCATTTTCGTCACTATTACAAATATCGGTCATATGTCGAGATCACAAAATAATAGCGTTTCTGTCCTTGGACACTGCATTCTGGGTTTATACTCTTTGCATGCCCCTCCCGCCCCCTAACAAGGGTCAGGCTTCGTAACCTGCTCACTATTGTAATACAAGCTCGGGAAATGTAGCAAGAGAAGTTAATCCTGGCCTCACGGGAAGTCTATGACAGTGTTAGAAGGCCTGCAGCCTACAGGTACACAGCCTTTTGTGTTCTCGTGCGTTCTCCGCAGGGAATGTTCAGAATTAGCCCATAATATTGAGCCTGACCAACCTGGAGGTTTCCTTTCCGAAATTACTTTACGTGTTTTACTTATTAGTTACTATAGGATTCTGACGATGGTGTATAACACATAGAGATAGGGGTTTTCGGACTTTATCCATCGCCCTGGTTTTTAAGATAACCAAGAAAAACACGACGTTTCGGAAAGTGCATCTGTTTCCGCCCTCAGGTGAGGAAAAACAGAGAAAAAAGAGGCTAGCTCTTTCTAAGGGACCCAACAGAATAGGTCTTTTCCTTCACCTGAGGACGGAAACAGATCCAGTTTCCGAAACGTCGTGTTTTTCTTAGTTATCTTAAAAACCAGGACGATGGATAAAGTCCGAAAACCCAATCTCTCTGTGTGTTTTACTTATATTCATTGTTTCCAGGTTAACAGTATGGGACTAGTCAGTTTGGTGAGCATCGATCAGCACAAATCTCAGATCTTTCTTCAAATTAAGGCCAGATCTATTTCTTATCAGTCCTGTGAAGATTTTTCATTATACAGAAATTAGCCTGCGTTGATAAGAAGTAAAAATCAGACATTTCGGAGACTAAAGACCTCTGGGATATATTGCTGTGTATTCCGATAAGAATCAACGAAAGAATATGTCGCTTCCATCTTCAGGGTCGCAAAATTAGCCAAGTACGAAGAAGGGTAGCAAGCAGAGTCTGGCATTATATCCCAAAAGGCTTAACTTCATAAGCACCGATGTGAGAACCTTAAGTATTTTTCGGGGACTGTTTATTCGTCATAAGTGACATAAATTGGTCTAGGTAGCATAAAAGTGAGATGTACTTCGGGAAGCTTACATACATATTTATCGACAAATTTTGGCCTTTGTCACTCACCACATAGATCCTTGATGACAGATACAGAAACTGTATCCGAAATGTTGGTTGCACACATCGTATCAAAGCGGCTGATCGACTGAGAATGATTCATTGCACTTGGTTTCCATGTGAGTTTCAATTTAACATTACTAAAATATTATAGTGCTTATCTTAGACCAAAATAAGACCTACTTTTGCCAGTAAATTACAGTTGCGACTCTAAATAACAAAATTCATGAAGATTCAAGCAGTTATATGACATTGCTATGCTATTCACTCAAAGAAGGGCGGGTAATGGCTGTAGAAATATTCGTGTACAAATTTTGGTAAAGGAAACTGCCCCTAAAGAAAAATATGACACTGTTTAGTCTGGCACATGTTTACAGAAGCTTCAGAGGAATATGCTGCCGCCATCTTCAGGGTAGAAGAACATAATATCCCTAATGTGATTCAGGGGTACTCAGAAAAATGTGGCACAAAGAACTAGGTAATTTTTCACGAAAGGCGAAAAGAATCCACTACTCGTAAATCTTCCAATCTCTTGTGCAGTCAGATAAGAAATGTGCAGTTGTCGAGGCATATTTCCTTCCGCACTGAAATAATTTTTCTCTTTCCAAACCATTTCTTATCTACGCTACTTACCTGGTAGGAATTTCCTGCCTTATTACACGCTGCCAAATGAAGAGATCTTGATACTGCTTATAAACCAATGGAGATGCGCCTTAAGAAACCTGGAAAGAAATAATTAACCAGCAAATTAGCTAATGAACCCCATGAAGCAGAATCCGTCTCGAGAAATTTATAGTTGCTCAGTTGTCAAGGAATTGTCAGAATTTTATAGAACCCAAAATTTCAATATTATTATTATCATAAGATCTCGTCATTGGCTCTTATATTGAGCCAGATGAATCCTGTTCACATCCACCTAACCTTTTATTTAATATTAACTTTATCCTCCCATCTGTGTTTAGATTTCAGAAGTGACATTTTCCTTCAGCTTTTCCTAATAAACATTGTGTGCATTTCTGTTCTCTTACATGCTTGCTATATGTCTAGCCCATGACGTTATCCTCCATTTCATCATTATGCTACTTGTCGAATTATAAAAATTATGAAATTATGCAGTTTTCTTCGCCTTGGGTCTAAATACTATCTTCAGTAGCCTTTCCTCAGGCGTCCTCATTGTATGTTCTTTCCTTAATGTGAGAGGCCAAATTTTACATCCATACAAAACAAGATGTAAAATGAAGTAATATACGCATTTTAAAGTCCATATTGTAATGCCCCTCAATTCATTTCGGGGGTCGTATGTCCCTAAGCTGAACAAGCATTGCGCAGTCCTAGCTTCTGTTTCAGTATGTATTGCCATGACAGGAAATACTGTGATCTTGTGTGCTGCTGTGCTGCCATGAACATCCCCCAGCTCTCAAGCATAAATCAAGCATTCCGAAAAACTGTCATCAACGGAAGTCAAGTCCTTTTTTCAGTCGTCCTGCATGTACTTTGTATAGAAGTCTTAAATTTTTTATTTCCTTAGTTTATTTAAAGGAGCAAAAGAGGAAGCAATAGAATGCAGGAAAAATTTAATAATGAGATTAATAATTTTTATTCTTCGCCACTTATTATTACAGTGATCACACGAAGGAGGATGAGATGTATAGGGCCACTGTCAACTTCTCAGGAGATCTTAACCAAAGTAGCTACTCTTTCTGTACCTGAACACTTTCTCTTCGGTTTCTTTTTAATATCGGCATTTACAGATGTCTGAATTGAGCTGAATAAGGTCTGGATGACCAGGTTTCGATTTCGAAATGGGGCAGAAAATATTTTTGCTACCACGTCTATTCGGACACTGGAACCCTTTCAGCTTCCTGTTCAATGGGAAAAGGGGATCTTTCTTAGGAGATGAATCGGCCGAAGCGTGATGCTGACAATTTAGAGCCATCTAATGTCGAGATGAAGAAATTCTTGGAATTTTATTTTTCCGCGTCTTCTTTGTGTCATTCTTAAGAGAGAAAAAAAAATTATCCTTTTATGTGGATGTGAGGTTGTCAAGGCGGCACTACGAATTTTACGATCTTCTGAGTTGTAACGCCGCGTCATTTGGAGACAGACCGACGTTTCGGAGGAAAATATCGCATTGATTTAATGCAGAAATAAATTACACGTGATAAGCTGGTACGAATCCTCGTACTGTGTGACCTCTCTCCTTCCGGGATATCTGAACTTTGTGTTTAGTGTCGGGAACAGCCGGTAGTTGGCGGCAGGCCTTCAGTAGCGTACACAAAGGCTTCCTTTCTCGTCACAGTTTTAGGAAGTAGCTAATTAAGAGAATTATGGAATTACAACTATTTTGTTTTGAACGAGAGAAGCTGTTTATGATTCTCAGTGTTTTGTGGTGACATATTCAACTTTATCTTCCCCCAGTCCTGTAATTTGTTTATAGGTAGTCCTCTATAAAAGTTGAATTCACTGGAGTCGTTACATATAATGAGGGCATATTTCGAAAAAAAGAAGATAAATTAATTAAAAGAAGTAAAGAAAGATAAGAGGGATAACGTAAACTTTGGTAATGCTATAACGGTTAAACAAGATTAACATAAAGAAAGCAGTCTGCTTTTACCGGTTCTCACGGTCTCTTCGCTTGCGGATTTCTTATATTTTTCCATCTACCCTGAAGATGGAGGCGATACGTTCCTCCGAATGTCGGTTAACACCACATATACACGGTGCCAAATCCCAGAAGACTGCTTTCTTCATAGTCACCGCCATGAAAGCCTCAGATCTTACAAGATTAACACAAGCTGATGATACGTCAAAACAAGAAATGTGTACACAACTTTGGTTGGAAAATAACAAGGCAAGAAGTTGCCCGAGAAACACGGACTTATATTATTTTATGATATTAAAATGCTTATCGGAGAAACGTCGGTTTCTTACTGCAACACCAGTTATCATTTCAGTGAACTCCACATTCAACAGCGCATGCTTAGATCGACAGGCTAGCTATTGGACTGACAATTATGAACTTCCAAGTTCCAATATCTAGACCTCGGTTCGAATCTGCGGCTGCGCTGAACACATTTATCCAGGAGACAATCGGATCGGACGGATGCCCAATTTCTGTCTATCCTGAATAAAAATATTCGTGAATTACCTTAATGTCTCCAGAAGACTGCCGTTATGGTGCCTCCAGATCGCCACTTTTAAATCTATACAAATTGTAGCATGTAGACCCGTTGCTAAGTAATGACTCTGTAAACAACGGCCGTTGCTAGGTAAGATTCATAACACGCACCAACGGAGTAACTGGGAGGCAGTCTTCTATACGCAGTACGTGCGACAGCTACTTTAGCAGAGGTGTTTTCTATGTTGTCCGTGCTGAGGTGTTATAAAGAGGACAAGTCTAGAGTTCAGATCTTTTAACGCTAGTGGGGTGGGACTAAGGTACTGCGGCCACTTCTGGCCTATTGTACCAGCCCCAGATGATATGTGAGGGTGATTGTGGAGAATTTGGTGGAATGAAGATTGGCAGGGGAAACCGAAGTACTCGGAGAAAACCTGCCCCAGCGCCACTTTGTCCACCACAAATCCCACTTGACCAGACCCCTGGTTCGAAACCGGGCCGCCGCGGTGGGAAGCCAGAGACTAACCGCTTGAGCTGTGGCGCAGCCTAGAAGTCAGTTAGTGGTGAGATAGTCACCGGCCAGTAAGGATGTGGACACGGAAGACGAGGAAGCTACGGCGTTGGAAGCCGTTACCAGGCGACAACCGGTGAAGATACTGTTATGAAATGATCTTACCTGTTATATACACAATAAAACAGACGGAGAAGACTTAGTGCGTGAGATAGTGAACTGCTGAATGTGTGAATTAGCAATAGCACAACTTTCTGTAAGATTTCAATAAATCCAATTAGCAATCCAAACCCCCATCTGTAGTCACTCATACACGTGACAATACTAACTATTTCTGATTTCTTCCATGCAAATGTAGCTGCGATTTTAAATAACTTAATAATTGAATAGGTGGCCGTTGAGTTCTGCATTTTATCGTTGTGGAATTGCTTCCTTAGTAGAAGTTTTCCTGTTGATATGAAGATGCCCAATAATAATCTAAGCCTCTTTATATTACAGTGAAAACTACATTGTCGGCGCAGTGTGGGAGCGTATGTTCATGGACCACTTCAGCAACGGGTAAGAATCCAGTTTGGGCATGTTTTAGTCCTCATTATTATATCTTATGTTGCACTGTAGAGCCCTTACTTTGGGCCAATCATGCGTCCAAGGAGCCCTACGCGATATGTGATTAGTATTCATTTCAGATACCAATTATGAGTCTGAATAGTCAGAGAGCCTAGCCTATAACATGCTGAGATTAAGGCTCTCGCATCGGCGGATATGAAGAGTACGGCCTTGTGAGCCCGATGTCTCGAAGGAACATCACCTTCATCTTCAGTGTCAAATTGTAAGCCAAGCAAAACACAAGTAGAAGCAGGCTTTTTTGATTTTAGTTTCTTAAGGTGGGGTAAGACTGAGTCCACTTGGTACGTCAGCCACTAATGGTCCTACTGTACCTGCCCCGGATGATAGATGATGAATGTGGAGCAGTCAGTGGAATGAGAATTGGCAGGGGAAACCGAAGGACTCGAAGAAAACCTACCCCAGTGCCTCTTTGTCCACCAGAAATCCCACATGACCTGAGCTTGACTCGAGCTCCTGCCTACGCGGTGGGAACCCGGCGACTAACCGCCTAAGCTATGGCACAGCCATAGAATTAGGCTTACTTTTCGAATCTGAAGATTGGTACGTTCATACGAAATACGAGGTGCTACAACAAACACAACAGTGCTCTTATTGATCAAGAGTTCAGCAAAAAGAATGTAAGAGTTATAGCAAATCGTAAACCAAAATGCTTTCCCACATATAATTTCTTTTCGAAAAAAGGAAACGATTCTCTTGCCTGGGTTTAAATAACCTCGAGCCATCTTCCACAAATGGTGTTTGGTGCAAATAATTTTAGGGAAGATATCCGAAGATTATTGGCGTCAATAGTTCCGGATTAGCGCTACGTTAGTGACAAACAGGGTTCCTTAACATCTTGTTCATCTGGAGATGCAAATAGAGACTCTTGAAACGTATTTATTTTAACAAAACTCAAACGTCAGACAAAATCTAAAATATTAATAGCTTTAACCCACGTGTTGTACTATTGTCAAACCTTGGAATTTATGTCAGAAGTTATTTCGTTGCAAAAATAATTGCTAATTCCCTTCAGGATAATGAATGTGAGATTATCAAACTGTTATTATTCAGTCATCTATATGTAGGCGGGGTCTGTAATCTTTGTGACCTTACGAAGTGAATGTTGTCGGGTGCTCACATGTCACATGCAGAACACGTGAGGGGCGAACAGTGTAGCCGCTTCTCTACTCTTGTGGTTGGCTAAACCCTCCCCTCCACGAGGCAGTAGTGTATCCTTCACATACCATCAAGATTATAGTACAACACGGCGACCCATATAGCTGCATTGTGTAATGAATATTCATGAGTTTCCTGCATGTGGGGCACGCTGACGAGCCCTTGAGAGGCGCATATCCGCTCACATGCACCGGCTGGTGGTGATGATGATGACAGAGGAGTCAAGCTCCTCCAGAGAGAAAAATTCGCGATACAAATATGTACGTCCAGTGAGCGGAAGAGCGACCCAGAATACTTACGTGAGGCCTGTTGTACGTAATGAATTACGAAATTACGTTATGAATACCTTTACTGTCCGTGTTTTGCAGCAAACATAAAAGATAAACTGGAGAAGAACTGCCGTATTACGGAGATGAAAAATATAAAAACTAGAAATTTTTAATATTAAAGCAAGAAAACAAACGACTATTAGGGAGAGAATATCTCTTGGAATATAACGCAGTATAGTCTGCCGAAAGTCAACCTACGTTTCGGAGGAATATTTCGTATCCATCTTCGGGGTTGAAGAATAAACCAAGCAAGAAATCAACGCGAGAGCATGTAGTAAACAGAGAAATCGGCTTACCGAAACGTCGGTTGACTGCCAACGGAATACACGGCGTTATATCCCAGGAGATAGAAATCTTCATAACAACCTGATATCTTTCTGTTAGGGAGAGACAGGCTTAGATGCGCCGATGGTGTTTAATTGCGTTTTATAGACAGAGGCAAGTGACGGGGTTTTGTTAAAATGGTGGTGATCTTCCGGGTTACATGAAAAGGGGGGGGATTTCTTGACTAGCTCAGTGGTTACCAAATGATACACCTCTTATTCTGTATATGGTAACCTCTGTTATCTGTGCTTCTGTCTCCACATTTTGTTACGTAGAGAAAACCAGAGATAAATGTCTGAAACATGAATAGTAAACGCAGGAGAAAGAACATAATGGGATTTTTTGTTTTTAATTTTTATTGTGATTTTACTGAGTTTAATCATTGATGTACAACCTTTGTAACATAAGGAACTAAATTATTTTATAACCCAAAAATAAAGAAAATTTGCAGTGGAATAATAACGTAACGTACTCAGCCGCCTCTGTGGTCTAGTGGTCAGAGTTCGTGGCTACAGATACAGAGGTCCGGTTTCGATTCCCGGCACTACAAGATTTTCTGAGAAGTAGTGGGTCGTACTTGGCTTTTTGATATTGTGGCGTGCCGCCTAAAACCAAGAATATCTGAGCGGGCGTCCGTTGCTAGACAACTACTTCTTAAAACACGTTTCCAAGACAGCGCATACACAGACGTCCATTTTCGGACAACGGCTCAATAAACGTCCCCTCAACAACCAATAGCTAGAGATAAAATCAACGTGTTACCTAAAAATGAAAACACGTTCCCCGGCAACTAATAGACCCGCTACTGATACAATAGCTAACACGGGAAATGAAACCCTTTAAGTAGGTGCCTTCTAGTCCGTCCGGCTAGAGAAGATAAGAGACTAAATGCAACACAGGACAGTTCAGGAACTGGGCCTGATCTGTCTTCTCGTCAGAGAGGGCCCCCCACAATAACAAGACCTAAACTGTCAAACAGTAATAAATATCTGGTCATGAGCCCCAGATTGGGCTCGACACCAAGACTGACTGACTGACTGACTGACTGACTGACTGACCGGCTGACCGTCAGTCGCAATGTGACTGAGCTGAGCCAAGAACCAGAAGAGGAAACGTGAGAGACGACGGAATTGTCAGGTCGCGTCGTCTGAAAGACATTTCAGAGTGATTTTGGTTGTAATCGTAACGACTTATGTAATAAAACAGCTCCGTCTAATCCAGAATCCAAAATTGTCACGGAACCCGGGACACGTGACAGTATCGTCACAGTCGTTGTTGTTACCCTGCTGCTGCTGCTTCTGTTGTTTCTGTTGTATCCAAATATTTCACCTCAGTCAAGTCTGTCTTCATGTCCAGTAAGCAAGATACACGCACTGCACTACACATAATGTAATTAGCAGGGCCCGAATTTTGATGACCTGAAAATGTTTAAAAAATTACATATAAAATGACCGAAAAAATCCAGAAAAATGACCTAAAGAAGAAAAGAAAGAATATTTCGCTTTCATGTTATTCACATTTCAGAAAAAATATGAAGAAANTCAGAGGTCAGATAAGTGTCGAACGGAGCAGAGCTGAGAGCAGAGGAGAAACCAGCTGAGCCAAGAACCAGAAGAGGAAACGTGAGAGACGACGGAATTGTCAGGTCGCGTCGTCTGAAAGACATTTCAGAGTGATTTTGGTTGTAATCGTAACGACTTATGTAATAAAACAGCTCCGTCTAATCCAGAATCCAAAATTGTCACGGAACCCGGGACACGTGACAGTATCGTCACAGTCGTTGTTGTTACCCTGCTGCTGCTGCTTCTGTTGTTTCTGTTGTATCCAAATATTTCACCTCAGTCAAGTCTGTCTTCATGTCCAGTAAGCAAGATACACGCACTGCACTACACATAATGTAATTAGCAGGGCCCG